CTCAACTTTTTTGTGACAATACTAGTGCTATAAATATTTCAAAAAATCATGTCCAACATTCACGAACCAAACATATTGACATACGCTATCATTTTATTCGAAGGTTGGTAGAAGATGGAACATTTGTGTTGGATCATGTACCTACAGATGATCTATATATATATATACAGTTCTTCATCTTATAAGTGCATTGCATTAGTCATTTTAGAATGTAGGTTCATCCCAAGGTTTTCCTTTGAATAATTTGACGTGTGGAATCATTATTTAGTGTTTTATGTTTCTGACAAGACTATTAGTTTGAGCTCGTCATTATGACCATATAATACTATTTCTAAGAGCTGTTCTCATGAAAATAAGCATCGGACAACTATCACATGAGGTGTTTTACTAGGATCACCTGTGAAACGAGCTACGTGCTTAATAATAATTGAGGTGCAATAGCTACTAGTAGTCATCAATTAGTTGATGGAAGTTCATTGGTGAAATAAGGTTGGCCATCATATCTTCTTTCTCAGTAATGTTAAAAAGATACTTTTTGCGGGATGATTCACACTACAAGTAATGGGCTTGATATTGGTGGATAGTCAGTGTTAGTAAGTGAAAATGTGTGGAAGTTAATAGAACGAAGTAAGTTCATCATAAGTATTGGGGCTGAATTGCGAATTAAAATTTTGTTTTTCGCCAAGAGAAAATGATGAATGAACTTATATTAATTCCATGTTTTACAAAAGTTGGAGTTATAAGGGCTGAGGTAATCCCGGCTGCCGGTGTTTCATCCGGCCAGCAACAATTTCCGGAAAGTCAACCGCCGGCCGTCACCGGCCGATCCACTTTCGGCCGCGATCGGCAACCGGCCGTTACATTAACGGTCGCCCATCGTCCGACCGGCGACCCATGCCGGTGTCACAACCGCCGACCGTCCAGCACAGTGGTAAGCGACCGTTCCATATACGGCCATGATCGGCGGCCGGCTACTATCAATGCGGCCGGCCGCCACATCAGATACTTTAAATATTTTTTGAAAACTATTTAGAAAAAAAAAAAAAAAAAAAAAACATACTGTGCCGATCATGAAGCTCTTGCCCATGCCCCTCCGATGTCGTGGCATTTTTTCGTAATTTTTTTGGAGGTCGGCGAGGTGGTGGAGACGGCTGGAATTCTTTGGAGTGTGGAGAGATGAAAGAGAATCTGAAATCTTTTTAGAAACTGTAAAGGGCAAAACGATCGATAAGAGGGAGGTGGGTAGTAATAGGGGGCAGTGATTAGTAATTTAAATTTGTTAGTGGGATAATGCAAATGCCAAATACCTCACTTTCTCTCTCATCTCTCCTATTTAAATTAATTAAAATCAAGGACCATATAAATTAATTTATAATTGTGAATAAGAAATGAAATTAGCTCAATAAACGGTAAAAAAAAATGGATTGACGACAAAATATAACTGATTTTTTATAAAATAATTTCATAAAACAAAAAATCATTCATTTGAAGTATTAAGGACAGTTGCAAGAAAAAGTAATATGAAACAAAATGTAAAACGATAAAACTCGAGGGAATGTTATATATCATAAAATCATCAATAAACCAACAGTAAACCATTATACAACTCAATATAAACCAAATTGAAAACTTTATACAAGAAAAAAAATATTTTACTAATAAAAATATTGGTAAGACATCAATAAACCAATAGTAAACCATTATACAACTCAATATAAACCAAATTGAAAACTTCATACAAAGAAAAAAAAAAAAATGTTACTAAAACATAATGGTAAGATGCAAGAGATGATCGTCTCCATCCTCAACTTCTTCATCAAACCTGACCCCAAACTTGTCGTTTCTCCTTTGATTTATCCAACAACGAAATTCATTCATTAGTAAATTTATTATCAAAATAAAAAAAATAAACTACTAACTAATTAACTACAACTAAACTAAAAAATGTCAATCTTAGAATCAATCAAGACCTTGGCATATGAAATTAATCTAAAAATATATTATTCATAAAACATAAATAAACTAGAAATTATTGAGCCCCCGCTTTGCCCCTTGCTCAGTGCCATTCTTAGCGCCAATGATCCGTCAAGTGTGTGAAGATGTACCAACCTTGCGGGAGCCTTGCTTGACATTAGATTTGGTCAACTTCATTTCTCTAATGTTTTCGAACAATTGAGCCAATCACCGACTCACTTTATAACTATAAGAGCACCCCACAATGTATTTGGTCTAATTTTATATATGTGGCATGTTAATAGACTTAAGTCCTAAATGACATAGACAAACCCAAGTAAAAAAACTCAAAAATTATTCAATACAAAAATAAAATAATAGGTCTAGCATACATGTCAACCAATAAAAATGCTCTAATATGTTTCCTTTATTAAAAGAAAATTTAAATTAAGAATCAATGATGAGTGTTTGGCTTTGTACTTGGGTCAAAAATAGACTCAAGTGTGGACTTGGTCTCTTTTTTTTATTGCTAAATAAGATAAATCATGTCCACTTTTAATTGCATTAGGAGACATTTTTTAATAGACTAAGTCTATTTCCCATGTGACATATAATATTTGTGTACGAGACCCAAAGCATTGTGGGTGCTCTAATGAAACCGAGAAAGAGATCATTATTACACTGTAATAAACTAACGATAAACATCAATATAACTAACAATGAGGGAGAGTTGAGACAGGTTAGTGTTGATGAAGGAAAATTACCAGACATGAAATTGATGTGCGTTATAAACCTGGCTTATGAAAATGGATAATTAATTAGATAATAATATGGAATTAAGAATCTATGATTGGAATAGGGAAAAAGATAACGTTTTTTTGGGTAAGAAACTTTAAGGTGAACGTACGGGAGGTAATTTTTTCTTTCTGTGTTTAAAACTAAGGAACACCAAATGGGCCAGAAGGCCCATCAGTGGGACATGTAAAAACCCGGACCAAGTACATAACCACAACCATAAGGCCCATAACTCCGCAGTTTCCAGGCCTTAACTTGGGATACGCAACTAACTCATGTTGTTGTTGTTTATATCATTACCGTCAAGTGGAAATTATAGGCCTGTTTAGGCTCTTGCCTATCACTCTTTATGGGTTGGATTTGGTATTTCAAGGCGACAGGAAACAAAAATTTAGTGTGAACCTGGATTTTATTTGGGCCTTAGGGCTTGATTGGACCTGTTGGATTATTTAATAAACTTATGGCAATGTAATTATTACTGTTGTAGAGGTGTGTGTGAACTATGAACGTGACAAAATGAAGGGTAGAAGGAATGAGCTTGACTTCACCCATGAATCCCTTTATTCGGGGTAAGGGGGGCTGCTGTGGCTAACTAACAGCAGCCCCAACAGTTAAATCTCAACCCTTCATTAAACATAAATCAAACCGAAATCCAATGGCTAAAAATAAAGAAATATGGTTGGACTCGATAAACATAAAAGCAATGAGTAAGCACTTCCTCTATCCATGCTCATCAATTTACTCGGCAAAGCTCTCGCAATCTCCTGGCAGCCGGTGAGTAAGACTTTTTTCTGTCGATTTTCCCCTTTCAATTTCTTCTTTTTTTTCCTTTCTAATTCTTCTTTGTGCATAAACCATAAAAGATTAAGGTTATGTTCGACTCTCTAATTTTGACTTGCTGCATTTTATCTCTGCTTGGATTGAATTATTTTACTATTTTTCCCCAATTTTGCCATCCGTATTGTTCAATTTTGTTCTTGTTTTTGGTTTAATTCTTGAATTAAGGAAATAAAAATCGTGTCTTCGTTTTGTCTATTTAGTGATTTGAAGACCTCTCACAATACCCTTTTGCTTATTGAGCTGAATTGTGTACGCTTCTAACACAAAAAAAAAAATAAAAAAAATCCTTCACTTTGTGAGAAATTTTGAAGATTTGAGTGTTGGTTCAAAAGAGCCTCTTTTGCTTGTGAATTTAGCTTATGTATATATGGTAGTTGAGTGAGTTCTAGGCTGAGCTGTGAGCAGAAATATTTCTGGTTTTGAATAAAAGATTTTGTGTTGTGGATGTTCAAGCTGTGTCAATATAGCCCGGTGAATGTAGAGTTCTATTTACCATGTTCAAGCTTTTGTTCTCAAGCCTTAACAAGTGTAAAATTTGCAAAGACTTTATATTTGTCATATACTGTTGGCCGATTTTATAAATATTGATTGATTGTAACAATTGCTAAGGCTAGCATAACAAACAAAAACCAAGAACACAATTGTATTCAAGTTGGTTCGAAAGAAAAAAAAGAATCAATCATAATCGGGTATAATTATGACCCGATCAAAGACAGAGATTTTGGATGCTCCACTTAACATGATCGGTTTCGAACTCGACGAAGTTTCAGCTAGTAAAGTTTCGGGCCACCTCATAATCACTCCAGAATGCTGTCAGGTACTAATCGTTTAAATGCCATATTATAATAATTGGTAATTTATTATTAAGTTTAACTAATTTGAGATTGTGCAGTACCATATGCTTCATGGAGGGGTATCGGCAATTATATCTGAGGCCTTAGCAAGCATACGAGCTCATATTGCCTTAACAAGTGGGAAGTTGCTTTGATGTATGCGATCCTTTTAAAACCGATACTAAAACTCTGATTGCGTCTTCAAGGCTCACATTACTTTGCAACTTGCCTCTGCCGGATAATGCTAGAGATGCTGCTCAGAATCTCAAAAGATACGCAAAGTTAGAGACCGGCTTAGTTCTTCACTCTGATTTCTTGTATTTTTTATTTATTTATTTATTTATTTATTGTAGCACATTGCCACTTGTTTGGAGGATTTGATGTTTACAGGCTTGTAATGATACAATGATTTTCTGTTTGCTGTATGTAATGTGAAGAGTAAGAATAATGAACAAGTGACACAAATTTGTGTAAAATTAAAGAAAACCTCAAGTAACACAACCCATTAAAACATTTTATTCAATCATAGATGAATCCATATGTTACAACAGAACAAATGAATTAAAAAAAACCATTCAATGAAAAAATGAATTAAAAAAAACCATTCAAATCTATTCTTATGAAGACCAATAAACTTCTAATGTAGGACTTTGGTGTGATCATTTTTTCGAATTACCTATGTCTGCACATGAAAATGTACAAAAACACCTAAATTCAAAACATGCTAATCGTCTTTTGACTTTAGAAGTTTAGTTACGGCAATTAGGTGAAACCGTTCCCAAGTTCTGCAAACGGACGTTATTACAAACGGCTTTGGATTTCTCGCTACCTATCCCGATCAAGTTCACATTTTGCAGAGTGATCCTCTGGCAAGGATGACTTTTGCTGCTTTTGAAATTGACGCCTTCATCTGAATTACGAGTGCCCTTGATGTTTCTGTGTCCGATGTTCTTCACTTGTACGGCTGAACTCTGAAAAAAAATGTACACGATAAAAAACACTATTTTATCGTTATTATTCATTATTTTGCAGTAAAATTAACCGCATGTCGTGTGACTGTCTATCTAACCTGTTCTTTGCGCGGTTCCTTTTGATCACAATAACTCTGGTCGATAATTATCGAGTTTTTCACTCCTTGCATTTCTATATTGTGGAACTTAATATTGTTTGCACTTCCAGAGCCACCCTGATTTGTAGTAAAAATAAGACAAGTGTTAAAAAAAACTTGTAATAAAAGTTAAAACAGTAAAATGGTGATTACCTAACTTACCTGCCATGTCTTGATTCTAACTCCATTAGTTGTTCCAGAAAGCTTTGCTCTGTTAACTACAACATCTGAGACATATTCTTCTGAATTTTCAGAACCTAAGCTTCCAATACTGATTTTTCAAAACAAGTACCAGAAAAAAAAAAGGGTCATTATCTCTGACTATAAAATTCTAATAATATTTTCATAAATATTTTTTTTATATGATTGATTGAAATTTGCTTCATAACCTAATGATTTCGAGAGCAACATTATCGACCCCCACAAAAAATTACCCACATAAACGCTGTTGCTGCTGTCAATGGACCCAGACCCGGATCCGGGCTCGGACCCATAACCACTTTGGCCCCCCGGAATGAAGAGCTTTCACTCTTGGAAGGTGGAGGCCCAGAATTCACCCTCAAGCTCCGGCCGTGAAGTTCATAGCCATTGAATTGTTGTACAACAGTTTCTAGTTCCTCGACGGTAGACATAGTCACAAAACCAAAACCCCTACTTTTTCCAGTAGCCTTGTCGTATATAACGTCAACCATCTCGACATTCCCAGCCTGCTCAAACAACCCAGCCAGCTCAGAGCTGTCGACATTAAACGGCAAATTCCCGACAAAAAGCTTCAAATCAGGCGAGAATCTCGGCTCCTCGCCGGCGGAGAAATCGAGCCCTTCGTCCTCGGACAAATCCGCATCCAGCTCGGACGAAACGACGACGTTTCTCAAGAACCCAGAAGCTGGATTAGCGCGAAGGCCGGCGGAGGAAAGCGGGAGGACGAGTTTGGGAAAATGTTTGATAGAAGAGGCGAAGAAAGCGGAGACGACGCTGCGGCCGACGCCGGCGGCGTCCGTGGAGGAAGGGTGGTGGGCGGATAAGGTTTATGGGGCGAGGGCGAGGAAGGTAAGTGAAGCAGCAATGGCTACTGAGAGAGAGTGAGTGGGTGTGTGGAGAAGATGAGGTTTTTGAGTTCTGTGAGAGAAATAGCTTAGTTGTGTTTTTTATGTAAAATAGATTTTTAACCCTTGGATCTATTTTTATTTATACTTAATCCAAGGGTTGGAATTTTACAGTTGGGGCTGCTGTAAGTTACCCACAGCAGCCCCCCGGACCCCTTTATTCGTTCCATCTTGGATGCTTTGCGGCTAGACACATTTATGACATGTTATATTTCCTACTTCATCTATATATATATATATATATATATTATCTGACAAGTTTTAATAAATTTTATTCAGTCAGCAATTAATAATAATATGAGTTCGTTTAATAAAAATAGGTGTTCATTTCATATAATATGTTCACCATTTAATAATAATATGTAATTTTCAGTTACAAAATTTATTTTGACAAGTCCATTTTAGATGGTGTCAATTTTTGTAACGTATTTTTATGTCCTGAAATACAAAATATTTTTATTTTTATATTGATACTATATATTTTTTGGTATTATATAAATACATATTTCACAATTACTTAATAATGACTAAAAATATCTCTATTTTCTATTGCAATCATACAATAATAAAAAAATATTTTTTCGGATATTATAAAAATACATCAAATATTTTGAAAATCAAATCCCAAAAGTCACGAGTTGAAGAAGTTTTAATAATAATGATTTGTTGTGATGAAGATTCTGACGATATGAAAACCACAAATTTTGTATGTAAAGAAGTGTTTAATAATATTTAGAATCGCTTTTTTAAATTATATTTTTCTCATTGATTAGTTATGATTTTTATTTTATTCTATATTTTTAATTACTTTCTTTTCTATTATATCGTTTTTCGTGCAAATGCACGGGTAAAACTAGTTAGTATTTATCATTATTATTAGGTAATAAATTGTGTTGCTTATTGGTCACACTATTTGATCAATGTTTGATATATGTTATTAAGAGAGAAAATAAATATAAACCAAAACTCAAAACAAAAAGTCTAGCTTAGTTAGAGGTTGTGCTTGCAAAAATTCAATTTTGGTCCGTTTATTTGTCTAAAGTCTTTTTTCGGTACACTAATTTTTCCTTTATTATTCAATAATAGTACGTTATGTTGCAATTTGTATCACTATTGGGACATTATCCCGAAAATGGTTTATTATTTTTTGGACTAATTTTCTAAAAATGATACAAATTGTAACATAACGTACTGTTTTTTATTAGTAATGTCCCAAAAATGATACAAATTACAACACAACTTACTATTTTTTATAAAGAGTAAGTTAATGTATCAAAAATGGATTTTAGACAAGTAAACAGACTAAAATTGAAATTATTCGGCTCCAGGAGAGATTTCTGTGGCAAAGAATGCAAATAGTGGACATAATGAATGGCCTGGAAAGAATAGTGAATCAATCAAGCATATCATTATGTAATAGTAGCCAGCTAGAGTTACTAACACATCGAAAAAGAAATTAATTTCCAGGTGATAGCCTAACTTTGCACCACTAATTGTATATATTTCAAGTCCAAACCAATTATCATCATCATGCATACTACATTTTGGGCAATGGGCTTGGAATGAATCATAAAGTTTGTTATATTTGCATCTATAGATTATTGTGTTGCCAAACCTGATCGAATTCGGTTCAAACATAAGACAACTATAATATTCGATCGCAGGGTCAATCAGTGTGAAAGGCACATCGATCGGTGGTATTTTGAAATAATCAATCAGAAATGAGAAACGATAGATAACTTCAAAAACTAGTGCATATTGTACAAAACTTCAAGCAAATACACACACACACACACATCAATGAGAGCCAGCCGTTTTTTCGCGAGGCTCCAACATGGACGGCAAAACGAGCGGAGATAAAAGCGGGATAGGGTCTTTATTTGAAAAATACGAAGCAACATTCGGTTCTCGGTTTGCTTCCAAAGCCATATGGGGTGGCTCCTTATTAGATTTTATTGCACTTTTGCACCCACAAATAGATGTATTAAGCTGCAAGGGTTGTGGGGCCCGTCTCTGCAGCCGACTCAAATTCAGTCTTCGGTCGAGTCCTGGCCGTGAGGGCAATAATGTCTGGAAACCGGGAAAAGAATCGGTGTCTAAGCTTTCCATAGCCTTTGATGTGTGTGTGTGTGTGTGTTTGTACAAAAATGGAGATTTTCTTGAAATATATTGTTCAATTCAAAAGTATTGTGTTTGGAGCTACTGGCTAGATATAGATAAGCTAGTATATGTGAGGGGTTTGTGTTGATTTGTATGGATTTGATTGGGAACATGGCATGGCCCCAATTGAAGCATGGGTATTGGTATTGGAAGTCACAATTATAAAATATTTATATATAATTTTTAGTTTTCAAGTAATATTATTATGGCATGGGCGCTAACTTTGATAGTCTTGAGATGTTGAAGACCAACAAATATAGATATGCGAAAAACTAGGGACCCTGAGAAAGTGTCCAAAAATAAAACTAATTTCTTTCAAAGCAATCAATCTGTTGGACTTATGGTAAGTATGGCTGCAAATGTTGGCATTTGAAAGAAAAACACTAGGAAAGTTAATTTCATTTGGCCAATAATGTTGAATTATGTATGTTTTTATATAATCTGACACTTCATGTGCACTCGATCCTTTCTAATTTTGTTTAAATTTCCCTTCATGTGAGCAGGCAATCGCGGAATCTATGATAAATTATTAATAGACAATAAAAGATGACAGTGACAGATTTCCAAAGCCAGCACATGACATTGCTTTACTCTATGGATTTCATGCGGGATCTCTTTGAAAAGGGAAATCACCTAAACAACTTAATTTGAGAAGTTGAATGAATAGTATATTATGATTACGGGTATGGCATCGATCAGCTTGGTTAAAATACGGAGATGCGAAAATGGAAACACTATGATCCTCTTTAAAAAAAATTAAAAAAATAAAAAAACTCAAATGAACCGTATTTTGAAATGAAACGAGTTGAACATTTATTTAAACTAGAACGTTAATAACCATCTAATTCCATCCGTTAATTAAATTAATCAAAATGTACATAATATGTTACAGTTTATAATATAAGTAAACATATTTGATTTTTCTATTTTTTTTACGTACAATATATAAATTATTTTCAGTAAAACTATTATGAATATATATAATATTTTTTTAATACATATTTTGGTCGATTCGGTTAATACGGATAATTTAAAAATAAAACTAAAATTGAACTGAAAAAAACTAAAAGTAAAACAAATTTTCAAAGCTGCATGGAAATACTAAATTGAAATATATATTTTGGTAGGTTATTTCAATTTTAATTGAAAATTACACACCCCTAATCATATGGGATAAAAGTTGTATGCAAAAATATAATTCTACGTCTAACTTCAGCATTGTTTCAAATGAGTATTTATTGTTGCAGTTGTGTTAGTTTATCTCTATTGTGCATCGCTAGAATTTCGTTGCATCATCAGATGTAGCGATCCACTAGGATTACACTAAATTTTTTTAGTTTCTTTTTTCTTTTTCTATTTTATATATAATTTTTTTTGTATAATGTGTATTACTAAATACATTTATTATTTAAATAAATTTTTGCCTTTATTATAAATATATTTTAGTTTTATTTTTTTAAATTTTTTTATTGTTAAATAACTACTATATATATAAATAAATATTTACCGCAAATGAATAAGAAAATTATCATTAAAATCAAATGTTGCAGCACACGTTAATTACTAAACCAAACTCAAACTACAACTTGATCAAATTTGGGATGACTTAAAATGTATGACACACATAAATAATAATTTTTTTTATTCAATTCTCCCAAACCACTCTCAGATCTACGAAATTAATTAAAAATTCACTAAATGTATCAAAAGTGTTTTTTGGTTGTGATATTTCGGAAGACTGTCCTTCTCAGAGACGGAGCTAGGATTTTAAAATACCTGGGGCTAATGAAATTGCGATCTACAATTCTTTTAAGTTTTATAGTATCATTATTAATCTTTTCGACCAACTCTCTTTCAATGTAAATAATCATGGAATCCGCCAAAAACTCATCTTCCATCTTATTACGGAGAACTGTCTTGACAAGTTTCATGTCCGAAAATGCTCGCTCTGTAGTTGCCGTAGACATAGGGAGAGTCAAAACAAGACGAATTAACCTGGAAAATAAATTAAATAAATTAGATCGAATAAATACACTATAATTTAATTAACAAAAATGACTTAAAGACAATTTCAAATGTACATGTCAATCAAGTTGTAGATTTTTGATTTATTGGTCTCAATTAATCTTCAATCAAGCTCGTCTCATTTCATCTATTTAATCGACGAGACATTTCCATATTGGAGTACGCAATGTGGGGTCACGTTCAAGAGAACTCATATCAATAGAGGCGGCAACATCATTGTTAGAAGGACGATCTCTGCTTGTCGACGTATGCTCTTTTGGCTTAAAGAACGAATTGATAGTTTTCTCTTCTTCGATCCTTGACCCTCCATTATAATTAAAACCTGTCAAGTTAACAAAAAAAGTAAATTTATCAACCATTTAGGTGATATAACTATTCATGTGTGATTTACATCATATTTATATAGTATCTAGAGCTTATTCATGTCATTATTGGTGTGTAAATAGCATTATTGTGCTTTTATTCTATTCTTGTTGTAAAGGTATTACACGTGCTTTTTTGTAGATATTTCCACATATTTGTAGAGCTTTGGGCTATTGGAACGCATGGTGAGTACATAAGACCCCCGGGATGATGAAATATTGATGCACGGAAGAATAAATGGAAGAAATCGTAAGTCACAAGAAAAGACTCACTCCTATATATATAGAAGTGAGGTACCTGCCCTAGGAGCTGCCCGGATCTTGTGAGCTGTCCTGCCCGTGATGCCCGTCCGTACACACACAGTATGCGTGTGTCAGAGATGGTTATCGCCACTATTGCTCTGCACCAATGTACTCTCGCCACGTGTCCCTCTGAGCAGAGGGAGATTATTCTCTGCGCATCCCGTTAGGATCTTCTAACGTAGCCCACACACTTTCTCGCGTTCAAGCCACGCTGTCAACTGCTCTTCACCTGTTGGGTGCTCGATCTGACTGAGTCCCCCATCGCTAGGTCGATCCTCGACCAGTTATGCTATTCTGCTCGATCTTTTCCCTTTTGGTCGATTATCACTCGACCAATACAGTTTTCTCTACCTCGAGCTCGCCCGACCAATGTGGTAAACCGGTCTATTCTTTAGCTATATAATATCCCATATCAGACACTTTGTTATTTATCCAAACAGGAGGAAACTGTGTTAGACTCATTGAAGAGTGAACTTTTGGGAAGATAAATCAAGAAAAGAAAAGAATCTCTTAAAAGTTGTAGTGGTGGAGTCCTAATTCCTGATGAAATTATGTAGTCGTATAGAGCTGGGATTTTAAAACAGGCAGTATGAGAAGTTATATATGAAACTATTGAAATATCAAATTCCTTCTGAGATACTTTTAACTATAGCCTCATCACTCAAAATACAGTATTTTGGAGGCATCAAAGAGACTGGACATTGTCATGTAATTCTATAACTCTTTATTTAAATGTGAAATTTTATTTTGTTAAATCTATAAATGTTTGATGGTTTAAATTTCTTGAAGATAAAAGCATTCGATCTCCATCATCACCTCACCCTCATCACCATCACTCATAGATCAGACCACCATCAGTGTCGCTTTCCTCCATCACCATCACCATCATCACCACCAACGGACCAAGCCTTAGAATCGCTAGCGAGCCTCTTGTGCGCACCAGACCTGCCGTTTTCCGGCGGCAGAAGCAGCAGGCCCCATTTTATCCCCCATTTCCAGCGACGTGCGAACGGTCGTGGCCACGATTGGAGTAGCAGCGCGCCTGAGATTCTCCGCAACCATCAGCGATCGTATTATATTTTTCTCTGCATTATGTTCTATGTGTATATTAAAACTTATGTATTATTTTCTCTGCACGTTGTGAAAAAGGTGATATAAAAATGCTATCAATGAACACCCTTTTATACACAGTTTTGATTTGCACATTTATCTCAACGTAAAATATGGAAAGATTTTGTTAAGATATTATTGCTGAAATTGTTAACGATAAAGAAGGATTGATTTTGATAAGATATTAAATTGATTTTGATAAGGTTGTAATAACTGCCTGTTTAGGATTTTTTGTTGATGATAAATATGGATTGATGTTGATAAGATATTAAAAGATATCAAACAAACAACCATTTTAAAAGATTTCTAAATATAAGGAATGACAATTTCATTCAACCGCAATATTATGAATGACAATTTGAAATTGCACGATTTTGAAAAGATTGTCATATTCAGTAAGTCAACTTGATTGACTGCAATTTTTTTTTTAAACTTTCCTCTCATTTAATTTATTGACCTCTCTTTTTCAATATATATAGATTCCAAACATCCCAATTTTTCTCATGAATTGTTGACAAAGTTTGCTTCAAACAAATATTTATATTTGGTTTCACAATTAATACAAGATATTGACCCCGACACTAAAACCAAACACTCCCCAAAACCACAGACAATCAGAGCTAATTCTTTACAAACTACAATCATCCAACTCAAAACTAAAATGTGAAATTCCATTCAGTGATCACCACAAAGCAGAACTTCTGTTCTGTACAAACGAGTGAACCTTAAACCTAACCTTGAAAGATGAGAGGATTCAGAATGTACACACACACCAAAAAAAAATAAAAAAAAAAGCAGA